AGGAAGGTGGTAATACATTTAAAATAGATCATCAATTGTTTGCATACGAAGATGTCCAACATTTAAATGCAATGCAACAATATTATTCCATCTCTAAGAAGACCTGCACAAGCTGCCACAGTTGATAACTTCTCCTCTCAAGTAAAGTCAGTGCTCAACAGACCAGACTCCAGTTATCCTTCGGCTAAACATGGCTACTTAACACCTTGGAACAAATAATCCCACACATCGATTCAAATCTTTTAATGGGAAACTTGTTTCCTTTCTATTTAGCGATCTGTCTTTGTGAGTGCATGCTTTTCTTATCTCTGATTATAGGCTGCTGTGTTCAGATGATAATGAATTGGAGTCAATTGTAAAGCTAGAAGGAAGAAATACAAAGGGTCAATCATGCAAAAACACCAGCATCTCTTTTAAATCATTATGAGACAGATTTAATTGTTTAAATAATCAACATATAACACATATTTCAAAGAAATATGGTTACAATCAAAGCATACATATTCAGTTCCTTTGAATTGATTGTGTTACCTAAGTAACAATGACTTCATAAAATCATGCATTGCATTATATACAGCTATCACTCAAAGCTGTGTTAGTTTGTAATGTTGCCATTATTTATATCAGTATATACAATATTTATATATATTAAACTTTGAAATGTGAGCTGAAATATGGCACACACAAAAAAACTGAAATAAATAACATATTTGATAGTTGTTAATCCCTGCTGTTCTTCACCGTGGAAGGAGGTTGTGTTTGGTCAGCATGCCTCGGCTCCCTGCAGCCTGTGAAGGAGAGCAGGGGGGGGGGGGGGGGGGTTAGGTTGGGGGGGATCTTTTATTTCAGAAATAAAAATGGTCTTTGGGTCAGATCTCAAACATATTATCACATTTGGTCTTATTCCTCCTCTGTCACCATCCAATCAAAATGAAACATAAATCCAAAATATGAATCTGCCTTTTCAATGCAATCCTTCTAATGATTCAAAAAGCTCTGTACAGCAACAACGAAAATGTGTTTGTCACTACAATGTCACTTACCAGTTTTGCCATAACTATTACCGGTTAATAAAAATGCAATCATCATAAGTGTTGAGACTTTCAAATGACAGTATGAGAGAAAAAGTTGGGGAACCTCTTGGAGTAAAACTATGGTGATACCAATGAAAAAGGCCGCCGTTTCATTTATCATTTAGAAGGACATTTGGTTACATTAAAGTCACCGGTACACACAAAGTGGACAGAGAGTATTCATAAATATTACAGTACTAAATAGCTTTATTAAATACATATTGTATATACCTGGCCACACCATGACTTGAACAAAAGTATATCACAAAGAACTTTTTCCTCTCAATGAGACATAACTGCTCCCTGTGTTTCCTAAGCCAGGTGAGTCTTGGTGACATTGTGTCCTGTTGTTTGTTGACTTCACGCTTTACATCCTCTGTTAGTACAGTAGGATTTATAGAAAAGCATGCCTTTGTTTAAAATGCACATAAAGCCCAGCCTCCTTGCATCAAATCTTTGGAGTGTGCGTCAAACAAATGTTGTAATGAGTAAACCCTGATTAAGATCTTCTGTTGAGAGAGTGGGCGAGGTCAGAGGCAGATATCGCCATTAGATATCTATCAGTTACAAACAGCAGTCAAACTTCAGCGATATTATTTACATAATAATACATCATTCAGCTGTAGATAAAAATGCTTGCATCGACCAACATGTCAACTCTTCAGGAACTTGTCTTGACATTTCGTATAATGTCGATAGAACCATATAACAGAGTGTTCGGCTTCAAAGAGTATACAACAGTAAACACAGATTGAGGGTATTTCTTTAGCTCTAGTCTTGCAATGTAAAACAAACCGGTTTCGTCAATCCAATTTGATACTTTAGGTGTCAACATTTGAAAATAGATTGACTTTGTGTTGTCTTCTCTTTTTTTATAATACATGCCTGTAAAAAACATATGGTTTGAAATCGGTGTGCTTTACATTTGAGTTCAAGAATTGCCCTGAATCTCCGTGTTTACTGTTTTTACTCTTTCCGTGAAGTTGAAGCCTGCAAGGTGGGTCGAGGCGGTTCCTCCAAACCAAGCCATTACGGCATTATGCAACATGTTGGTAGATGCAATCGTTTTTATCTACAGCTGTATTATGATGAATTGTAAGATTTAAAAAACACAGTTGAATTTTGACTGCAGTTTGTAACTGATAGATATCAGAAATGCCAAGGCATTATCGGCATTATACAAATTGTCAAGGCCAGTTCCTGAAGAGTAGACGTGTTGTCCGATCCAGTTTTTTTTTCTTCTACCACTGATAAAAACACTTTGTGTCAAAACATCAAAGGACTATAAAGATGGACAAACATAGTTACATACTCATGAAGACAAACATAGTTATGAACATTATGAACAATTACACATCTCATATACTGTAGGGAACAAACACATGTGCACCAGCGACGTGCAGGCAGGGGAGGCAGAGCCTCACCTGTCATACTCCAATGTAACGGAAAAACAACTAAAGAAAAACTAAATAGTAATAATAATAAAATGTCTCCACTGATCTGTGTTGTAAGTGTGATTTCTGTTTGATTCCAATCGCTTTTTATAGTCAAAATCAGCAAATTGGCCGAGCTCCGCGACAACTACGGGTAGCGACGAGAAGTGAGGCAGGGACGAACTCTGCCTCACATAAGCCCACAGTAACTGGCTGGAGCGCGGGAACTAATGTAGCGCGGGCACTTATTTTGTGAGCGCGCTCAAGCCAGTTACTGTGTGGTGAGGTGAGGCACAGATGAGCTCTGCCTCACCTCAGAATGCGTCACCCCACAGAAACTGGCTGGAAAGCGGGCCCTAAGCGCATGCCTGCACCATCTCACTGTATGTCACCAATGTAATGTTTGTAGATCCCTTTATTACATTTATCCTCGCCATCCATAGTCTCTAAATAACTTATTTCACGTATATATGATATTTAGGCTCGCTGGTCTCATCATACAACGGCAATGAAAAAAGCACCAGGGGAGGCAGCCATAACCTCTGCCGCACTGAAGGGGGCGCATGTGAGCCCACAGGTTCCTGTTGCTACTGTTATTCTACGCAGAGACGGTAGACCGGCCGGTAGACGTGAACAACAAACTAGACTTTTGAAACTAGAGGAAGATAAGGAGAACTTTTACAAAAAAGTAATAGAGATTGTTGTCCAGAAGGATAGCATGGACTTGATCTTCAAGTCAAGGTAAGACCACCATTGTAATGAAAATGGGATCTTACTAAGAAAGAACAATCCAATATTTAGATTTTGGGTATCCTTTTGTTGAACGGTCTGTTTAAAATGAATCGAAGCATCAGACTAAAAAAGCTTTTGAAAATAACCGAACATTTCGATTAAGGTCAAAATATAATATTTGTAAATCTGACTCTGAAAGAGTCAGTGCATCACCAGCCATGAACCTCACCGCACGTCACTGATGTGCACACAGCCATTTATGCAACGTGCAATGTAAGATGATAGTCAAATGAAATATTGTCACGTTGCTTGATCATGTACAATATAACAATGTCCCTATTTATTAAGCCCTACATCACAATTTGATAAAGCGTGTAGGTTAGTTCAAACAGTCATTGAAACCCAGCCTTGGCCGCCCAGCAGAACTAACTTTGGAGCCTCACGATGCAAACGATGTTACTCGCGACATCTATTTATCACTATCAGATTACCATTGAAATGATAACGTTCATCAAAAATCACATTATAAACACAATTCTTCAGACATAATGTGTACCCCTCTTGGAGCTTTCGCCCCTCACTACCCTTCTCAATGCGCAAGTAAGACAGAATATACTGTGTCTGTATTAAAGTTGCTAAAGTCACTGATCATTAAAATCCAGAAGGGAATGGCCATGTACTGTACCTGGAATGCGATCAATATACTGTGCTTAGAAAAAAAAAATGAACTGGTCTACCTGCTGCTTGATGGCTGAGAGAATCTTAGGGATTTATACTATAGAAGCCTGTTTTGTTCTTCTTGGGTGGATCCCCCTGTTCAAAGAGAGGACCAAAAAGAGAGTCAATATCAATAACTTACACTCAAAGCACTTTTACAGTAGAAGTCAGCATTGCCTTTGGGAGCAGTTAGGGGTTCAGGACACTTCAACACGTTGACCTTCCAAGTGGTAAACCACTGCAGTACTTGTAGTACTTACCACAATGACAGGGGTTGGCACCGGTTTCTGTGTCACTGGGGTTTGAGGTGAGTATACAGGCAGAGGGTTTCGGGGATGGTTGTTCCCTTTCACTGTAATATGGATCCTCAGCACGGTCCATATGACCACTTTCCGTTCGCAGACAACACCATTGAACCAACTGAAAGAACGGAGCAACAAAACAGTTCAGATGATAGCTAGGAAACAACTTTATCAGAAAGCTATGTCCCAATTCATTTCCTCACAAGGCACGGTCTTGAAAGGAGTCCAAAGAGAATCCTGTGCCCCATACCAAATGTTGTAATGGTCTCACTCAGACAAATATTTGACCAGAATTCAGTGTTTTTAAGGATGCTGAAGGCCACAGAGGCTCCATAAATCCTTCAATTCTCTGCAAGAAAGGCTGCAGTTCTGTAATTTGTTCTGGTAATCTGGTTTATCTCAAGGGAATTATCATTCAAATCAACTTTGATCGGTCTTAAATTGCGTACTTATATGTATGCAAAGTATGGCAAAATGCAGTGTACTAAGATAACTCATAAAGGTCAAAGTTTAGTGTGGAACATTTCTCAACTCAACTCAACAATCGCCATCTTGGCTACGTAATGGAAGTTACGTGACTAGACCTGATTGTGGTTACTTCAGTAAACACTGCACTTTACAAATAAAATGAATACATGTGTTGGTTTTTTCACTATTAAATAATGTACCATTATACAGGTGTCAAAAATAATCTACAGTTATCTGTTTAGGGTAAATTAAGAATCACAAACAAACATTGCCAGCTAGTAAGCTAGGTAGCTGGCTAACAGCGCTATCGTCACTTCTGGTGAGGGCACAGCAACTATCTGCGATGTGAAACAACACTATACAGTTGAAGTGTTCACAGTGCAAGGCATGGCAATGTATTAAGGGAAGTATTTACAAAGCATTAATTTCATCTTTAGAGCTGCCATTGTTGAGCAGTGTTGCCAGGACTAGGAGATCAGAAGTGTTGGTGTTTATCGTAGGAGGTATATTTAATGGTTTTATTGAATCATGATGTACAATGCCAGGCAGAACCCTGGTACTCTCACATACAACTATGCAGCCATCCCAAGTGATGCAGCAGATCAATAGAAAGGTTCTATTTAATTAGAAGTTTATTTTTATTTGTTTACCTTTAGTGGTCCTTATAATGGGATAAGGCTTCTGATTAAATGTAACCAGGTTTACATTTGCATGGGTAAATCAAAGTTAACAAAATGAGAAGTAAGTGAAATGTTATAGAGCTTAGAAACAGAAATATTGAAATGAAAAAGCATATTGTATTAAAACTGCTTGATAGCTCACCAACATGATGAAGATGATTAACAGAAGCAACAGGATGACAGAGGCCAATACTAAAAGGGCAATACCCCATCCAGGTACAAAGTCACTGCTGTTCCCCCCTGGTGGCAGGGGATGGGTGGGCTTTCCAGTTGAAACACTGTGCGATTCTGTGTGTTTTCCAGCAGGAGAGGTTTCAGTTTGGCTTCCAGATGTTTTTGTCGGATCTCCAATTGTGGTAGTAGCAGATTTGACTGATGAAGCCGTACGTACATTGGACGTTGAAAATGTTGTAGTTGTATTAGGTTTTGGTGCAGTGATATTTGTAATAGTCATTGTTGTGGTGGTATTGGTCTTATTAGGTGTTGTGGGGGTGGTTGAAGGAGGTGGGTCTGTGGTTGTGGTAGTGGGTGCTGTGGTGGGGGTGGTTGAAGGAGGTGGGTCTGTGGTTGGGGTAGTGGGCGCTGTGGTGGGGGTGGTTGAAGGAGGTGGGTCTGTGGTTGTGGTAGTGAGTGCTGTGGTGGGGGTGGTTGAAGGAGGTGGGTCTGTGGTTGTGGTAGTGGGTGCTGTGGTGGGGGTTGTTGAAGGAGGTGGGTCTGTGGTTGTGGTAGTGGGTGCTGTTGTGGGGGTGGTTGAAGGAGGTGGGTCTGTGGTGGGGGTGGTTGAAGGAGGTGGGTCTGTGGTTGTGGTAGTGGGTGCTGTGGTGGGGCTTGTTGAAGGAGGCGGGTCTGTGGTTGTGGTAGTGGGTGCTGTGGTGGGGGTGGTTGGAGGAGGTGGGTCTGTGGTTGTGGTAGTGGATGGGTCTGTGGTGGTGGTATTAGGTGTTGTGGTTCTATTGGTGGTGGAAAGTGTTAAAGAGGGGCTCGTTGTAGTAGGTGTTGTAGTAGGTGGTGTTGTGGTGGTGGTAGTTGGTGTAGTTGTAGTTTGTGTGGTGGTGGTGGTGGTTGGTGTGGTGGTAGTTGCTGTAGTTGTAGTTTGTGTGGTGGTAGTTGGTGTGGTGGTAGTTGGTGTGGTTGTAGTTGGTATGGTGGTAGTTGCTGTGGTTGTAGTTGGTGTGGTTGTAGTTGGTGTAGTTGTAGTTGGTGTGGTGGTAGTTGGTGTGGTGGTAGTTGGTGTGGTTGTAGTTGGTGTGGTGGTAGTTGGTGTGGTGGTAGTTGTAGTAGGTGTTGTTGTAGAAGTTGTGGTAGTTGGTGTGGTTGTAGTTGGTGTGGTGGTAGTTGGTGTGGTGGTAGTTGTAGTAGGTGTTGTTGTAGAAGTTGTGGTAGTTGGTGTGGTTGTAGTTGGTGTGGTTGTAGTTGCTGTGCTGGTAGTTGGTGTAGTTGTAGTTTGTGTGGTGATAGTTTTTGGAGGCTTCATTTTGTCAACTACAGAAAAACAAGAGGTACACATGTAGAGTGCTTCTTTCAGAAACAACATGTACATCACAGAGGAGGAATTATTGGAATTATGTCCAAAACTTGTTTTTACCTGTTGTATAGCTCAAATTCAGTTTAAGAACTTGGGGTTGGATGGTGTTGAAAAGCTGAGTAAAGGTATACCAGACAATCTGCTTGTTTATTTGGTTGGTATTGAAGCTTATAACTGTGTTGGCAATCACTGATCCAGAGCTGTGAAAGAAAGTGTTGTAAAAATAACAATAATGGAAGTTATACACAACTATACATCCATTTGTGATATTGTTATAAGAGAATCATTACAAATATTTAAGGAAAAATTACTACATCTACTTGCATTTATATGCGAAAGTAGTTCTAAAATATATATATATATTATTCATTCATACCTGAAAGTCATTTCCTTAACTCCTTGATAGTGGAAATTTGAACATAAACCCCCATCTTTGCAGAAATAGATTTGATCTAACTGCAAAAGAGAAGGAAGGAAAATAAATATAGATCAACACATTATAGCTAAACTAGTTAAATACAGAGGTAATATTCACCTAGTAACATTTGTTGTTGCTTGTGTTTTCATTTGATGTCACAATAAAAATATGATTATTTGGTATAGATTAAACCATCCATTGAGTTATTAGCAAAAACAATATAAAAATCGATTAACAAATACATTGACATACAATTACATAAAATTATAGGTTGAGTATCTAGCAGCGGTATACAAAGTAATTCAAATTAACAACACCTACAACTGTGATAGACATAATCCAGTAAATATGGTTTACGAGTATTTGTGGTACTTACACTTAAGTAAGATTTTGACTTGAGTATTTTTACAATGTATCATTACTTTTACTTAAATAAAACATCTAAGTACTTCTTCCACTACCCTAACTTCTATGTAAAGGACACACTGTATATGCACTGAATGGATTTGATTGAGAAATGGTGCAATACGGGTAACATAATGCAGTACATCAAGTTTTTTATTTATTTATTACAAGTTCTTACAAAATGTATAAAGATATATTCTTCCAGTTCCTCATAGGGATGTCATTTGCTAACTATATTATATTTTTTAGATATTAAGATTTTACAGGTTCAGTTCATTTTGTGAGTGAGGAAGAAAATATTTATTTTAATTATTGAATAAGAGTTCAATATCAGCCTGAAAGCTAGCCGATTACATTTTAAAATGTGTTTAAATTGGTATTCATCCTACCAGGGTAGCGACTTCTCCATACATGGTGCGATAATTTTCAGTTGTGGTGTCGAGTAATGCGTTGGTGAAGTTCCTGTTGGTGATCTCTATTGGCAAATTGAAGGACGTGAGAGAAGTTTTCTGCTGCTCTTCTCTGGGAAATCCACGCAGGCCAAGAGACTGAGGAGCCAGAAGCCCTGCAGGATCAGTGGGACAAGTTCAACTCCAGAATGAAAGACATACCAGACCAGCACAAAAACATTGATGTTTCCAAGATCATTTGTCATTTCAGGGCATATGGTCACAGTTTTACCCCCTGCAAAACGTGGAAATGAAAGGCGGATTTTGAATTCAGCAATGTTTTATTTTTTTAATAAAAACATATTATTATTAAATATATAAGGACTCCTGTAGCTTTTCTCTATCTATTCTTCTGCCTATGACCTTATCTGTATATTCCAATTTCCATGTCCAATATTGTCTGAAAGTTGAACATGGCAAACTCAACAATGTGGAGAGAGGTGTAAATGGATTATTTAGAAATTATAATCAAAAATGTATATCAGTTTTAGAAATATTTGACTCCATCTGGATATCAAGCTGTTTCACATATCCCCCAGATGCTGAGAAAGAGAGATCCATTTATAACAGGGCAGTTATTTGAGCCTATGGGAGGGCAATCACTGAAATGTGACGTTAGGACCGAAGTTAAAGCAACTTTTAATGCCAACTAAGGAACTTAGAAGCCATTATAGAGAAATTCTCTCAGAGGAAAATAAAATTCCATGAGAACTTGACACCTCCATTGGCTTAGGATGATTGTGTGATGTGATTAAAACAGTCTCTAAATGGAACGTTCCAATGTGTTTTCTGAAGGCCTTAGAGACACTTAAATAATTCCAACATGTTTCTATTGTCCATATGATGTTGGCATTTAAACCCCCCCAAATCACCTGAACCTGTTCAAATAATCACCAAATGTTTACCTTGTAGATAACTGAACTTAAAACAATGGGCTCAATATGCAAGAGCAACAGTAAAGTCCTTTGAGAAGGCCAAATTCCTTTCGTTGATGAGTTGTAAATCATACAAATATTTCATTTATTTTCATTCTTCTGACCAAATATTGATGCATGATTATTTCTTACCTGAAGAAGCCATGGTGAGCAAACACAGAGCATTGATCCACAGCCGTCTCAGGTGCACCATGGTGAAAAATAGCCAGAAAACTTTAGTCCAGTAGTGATCTGGTGATCCGGTCACGCTTAACTACAATAATGGTGATGAAGTCTTCCTGTCAATCCTTTTATTGCTTCAGGGTGTGAATGGGCAGGGTTAGGCACGGCGGCCCACATTGAAAATGACTTAGGCCTCCCTTTGATGATCAAATCACTTAAACACAAAGTCCATTCTCCTGTCCTTTTGGATGAAGTACTTGATGGCGGGGTCATGCAGCTGATCCTTTGCCACTCCAATTTATCATTGTAACATGATAGAATTACGAACAAAGAATTACTAACAAAGCACTTATATACTAATAAAGGACTGGCTTATCTAAAGCCAGTTGAGTAGCACTTGAAATGATTTGGCTCTATGAAACCTGATGTACTTATATGATTCTGTTTTCTTCTAGTTCGTATCTTCTTGGTCGAATGCACTTATTGTAAGTCGCTTTGGATAAAAGTGTCAGCTAAATGCAATGTAACGTAATGTAACTCAATCTTGAAAATGACTCGGTTAATAATTTCGCAACGATGTCATCACTATCACTGACATGAGCCATCATGAACGAACTTATGCTAATCATAAATCTATCTCGATTCGAAAATTATAAAAGTAGGATAGACATGTGGATATTATCCGGCTGAACAAAACGTGCATTTATCTAACAGGTTCGTTTTCCACAGACCTTATTTCGAGCTATTTTCTGGGAGAAATCCCATTGCTTTTTTGTCGAGGGAATCCGAGCGCAGCTTACTTCAGGGTTTTAGGACGCGTCACTGCACCACTGTTGCTGTGTTTCACTTCGGTTAAATTGATTCCTTGCGTCCCTCACTTGCGTCGTTTCCCTGCGACTAATCCCTCCCACCAGGGAAGCATGGAGAGCATGGATGTATAATAAGAACTGGATACAGCGTGGGAGGCGGGGCCTCATTCATTCCTATGAGAATTGCTCATTAGCGCATGATGATAAAATGGCCCAACTTTTGAGAGAGTGAAACGTCACAGATTACCCGGCATGCCTGAGAAGTACCCGTATGTGCGCTCATAGAGCATGCACAACTTTAACCAAAATGCTCGTTCACATCAAGCACGTCAATTTGCGTACACATAGCAGCACCGTGCGTTCATGACAGCATGGTAATGGATTGTTATTATGATGGATTTGATATTAACGAGGCGGCAGTTAGCAGTTAGCAGCTAGCTAGTAATTATGCTAATGTAAACATCAATCGTTATGTACTTATATTACGCTGTAACAGTCTCCCTGCAGTCTCTGGATTTCCTTGCTCTCACTGAGACCTGGATTACTCCATCCAACACATCCACCCCAGCAGCTCTCTCCACTGCATATTCCTTCTCCCATACACCCAGACCCACTGGCAGAGGAGGTGGCACTGGTCTCCTGCTCTCTCCCAAATGGAGCTTTTCCCTCTTCAAGCTACCTAACTTCACTCCTTCCACCTTTGAATTCCATGCCGTTACAGTAACCCATCCTATACAGTTAACCATTGTTGTTCTCTACCGTCCACCAGGCGCCTTGGGGGACTTCTTGGAGGAATTAGATAATCTCCTCTCACACATCCCTGAAACTGGCCCTCCCGCTGTACTTCTCGGAGACTTCAACCTCCAGACAGGGAAGATAGACGAACTAACATCTCTGTTAACCGCCTTTGCTTTCTCACTGTCTCCTTCCCCACCAACTCATAAAGCTGGCAATGTCCTTGATCTCATATTCTCAAGGAACTGCGCTACTTCTAACCTCTCTGTAAACCCGCTCCACACATCCGATCACTTCTTCATTTCATTCTCTCTACCCCTTTCCAAACATAACAAACTAATCTCTTCTCATCCTGCACCTGTCCGCCGTAACCTTCGTTCCCTCTCCCCCTCTACCTTTGCCTTTGCCTCATCGGTGCTCTCAGCCCTCCCTTCATCTGACTCGTTCCAACTCCTGCCTCCAAACTCTGCTGCAGAAACTCTCCTCTCTACTCTCTCATCCTCTCTGGACTCTCTCTGTCCTCTCACATCTCGGCAGGCTCGTCAGTCCCCTCCTGCTCCCTGGCTGAATGACGCACTGTGTGCTAATAGAACCGTCCTTAGGGCAGCAGAGCGGAAACGGTGGAAATCCAAACACCGTGACGACCTCCTAACCTATCAGGCTCTCCTCTTTCTCTGCTTCGATCTCTCAGGCAAAAAGCACTTTCTTTCAAGATAAGATCCAATCTTCCTATTCCAATCCCAAAAAACTATTTTCCATCTTCTCCACCCTCTTGGACCCTCCCAAAGCCCCTCCCCCCTCCTCACTTCTGTCAAGCGACTTTGTTATCCACTTTGAAAAAAAGGTTGATGATATTCGCTCTTCTTTTTCTGACTCACCTTTACTCTCCGCTGGGTCACCAGACCCTCCTTCCACCCACACACTAACCTCTTTTTCCCCTCTCGCTCCAAGTGAGGTTCTTACCCTCATTACCTCTGCCCGCCCTACCACCTGTCCTCTGGACCCTATCCCTTCAAACCTCCTTCAGACTATCGCTCCTGATATTCTACCGTTTCTCTCCCATTTCATCAACACTTCTCTAACTTCTGGTCACTTTCCAAACAGTCTCAAGGAGGCAAGAGTAAACCCTCTCCTAAAGAAACCCACTCTCAACCCGTCTGAAGTTATAAACTACAGGCCTGTCTCTCTACTCCCGTTCCTGTCTAAAACACTTGAACGCGCTGTCTTTAAACAACTCTCCTGTTATCTCCATCAGAACAACCTTCTGGATCCGCACCAGTCTGGTTTCAAGGCAGGTCACTCCACAGAAACTGCTCTCATTGCTGTCACTGAGGAACTGCACACTGCCAAAGCAGCATCCCTCTCCTCTGTCATCATCCTGTTGGACCTGTCTGCTGCATTCAACACGGTGAACCATCAGATCCTCCTTCGCACTCTCCAAAAACTTGGAGTTTCAGGCTCTGCACTTTCTCCTCCTCACCTCATACCTCAAAGACCGTACCTACAGGGTAACTTGGCGAGGGTCTGAGTCCGACCCTTGTCAATTAACTACAGGGGTCCCTCAGGGCTCTGTTCTTGGTCCCCTCCTCTTCTCCCTGTACACAAACTCGCTCGGATCAGTCATTAGCCCGCATGGTTTTTCATACCACTGCTATGCTGACGACACCCAATTAATGATGTCCTTCCCCCGCTCAGAGACCCAGGTCGTCGCACACATCTCTGCTTGTCTAGCTGACATCTCTCAGTGGATGTCTGCTCATCACCTCAAGCTCAACCTTGACAAGACTGAGCTGCTTTTCCTTCCGGGAAAAGATTGTCCCACTCTTGACCTGACTATCAACATCGGCACCTGTGTTGTTTCCTCGACTCAGACTGCAAGGGATCTGGGTGTGATCCTAGATAACAACCTGTCCTTCACTGCAAATATCGCTGCTACAACCCGTTGCTGCAGATACACGCTTTACAACATCAGGAAGATACGTCCCCAGCTGACACAGAAAGCGACGCAGGTTCTGGTCCAGGCTCTCGTCATCTCACGCCTAGACTACTGCAACTCCCTCCTGGCTGGTCTACCTGCATGTGCCATCCGACCTCTGCAGCTCACCCAGAATGCAGCGGCTCGTCTGGTCTTCAACCTCCCTAAATTCTCCCACACCACTCCGCTCCTCCGCTCCCTGCACTGGCTTCCGGTAACTGCTAGAATCCACTTCAAGACAATGGTACTTGCTTACCATGCTGCGAATGGATCTGGCCCTTCGTACATCCGGGACATGGTTAAACCGTACACCCCAGCGCGTGCACTACGCTCTGCATCAGCCAAACGACTCACTGCGCCCTCGCTGCGAGGGGGACCCAAGTTCCCATCAGCAAAAACACGTGGGTTTGCTATCCTGGCTCCAAGATGGTGGAATGAGCTCCCCATTGACATCAGGACAGCAGATAGCTTGCACATCTTCCGGCGCAGACTGAAAACTCATCTCTTTCGACTCCACTTCGAGCGATAGATTTATTAACAAAGCACTTATATACTAATAAAGGACTGGCTTATCTAAAGCCAGTTGAGTAGCACTTGAAATGTTTGGCTCTATGAAACCTGATGTACTTATATGATTCTGTTTTCTTCAAGGTTGTGTCTTCCTGGTCGAATGTACTTAATGTAAGTCGCTTTGGATAAAAGCGTCAGCTAAATGTAATGTAATGTAAACATTTCCCTAGTATTTTCAGTTAAATATCGCTTTGTGGTTACCTCTTTTTGAACATTTTTGTGAACAGAAATAGAGCTCTCAAAGAAAACACAGGAATGATCAGAGAGTGCAACATCAGTCACCACAACCTTAGAGATATTCAGACCCTTTGAGATAATTAAGTCCAGAGTGTGCCCCTTATTGTGCGTGGGCTCCGTCACATGCTGAGTCAATAGTTATCAAGAACACAAAACAGTTCTTTAGCCCCTCTGTCCTGGGGGTTGTCAACATGGATGTTAAAATCACCAACAATGACTAGACGGTCAAAGTCAATACACACTATAGACAGCAGTTCAGTAAAGTCATCACAAAAGCTTGCACAGTATTTGGGTGGTCTATAGATATTTAGGAACAGAGCTCGAGAGGAGCATTTCAGCTGAAGGGCCACATATTCAAAAGAAGCAAAGTTCCCATAAGATGTCTTCCTGCATTGAATGGAATCATTGAACAGAATAGCAACTCCACCTCCTTTCTTATTTCTTATTCTTAAGTTTGTTAAACACACTATCAGTCAGGTTTTTTGTAACAAGCTGTGGCTGACATGGAATCACTGCTAAATTAGATAAACTCACACAAACGGTTGAGCGCTTCCTGTATCTAAGATGATTCACCGCTCTTAATCTATTACCTATCAACACAGATATCGGCAAAGCTAGAGGCAGGCAGGACCCCGGCATGTCCTTGAAAGAGTTGAGAGTGCCATACGCCCTTGAGCCTGGACCCAGCAAATATCAGTTTGCAGTGTTCTGTACACACACATCCCTATCAGGCTTTGAAGGGGAGGGAGGACCCACCACCCTGCTCCTCTCCTCATAGGAGGGCAGGGTGAGGGCTACACTATAGGAAGGGGGGTTTGGAAATGTGCTTC